GGTAACGGTAACGGAAGGAAGGAAGGAAGGAAGGAGGTAGGTACGTACGACGAACGAACGAAGAAGAAGGAAGGAAGGAGGAGGACGAGACGTACGTACGTAGAGAGAGAGAGAGAGAGAGAGAGAGAGAGGGGGGTGTTGGGGAACCTTGGACATGTTCCCGTATCGCATTACTGCCTTTTTATTCCAAAACGGAAAGCCACATATCATTTATCTTTAACTTACAAATACGCACCGACCCACAAAAAGAAAAAAAACAAAACTCGACTTCTAAATAAAATCCTCGAAAAAATAAAAAAATAAAAAGGAATTTCAGAACAACCCCCTCTCCTCATACCCCTCACCGACAACTCAAAAAAAAAACAAAAACCTATAAAAAAAACTAATTGCCAAAACCAAAAAACAAGAAAAAGGCATATTGCCGTAATTCAGTGAAATTTCGAGGAAAAGGTAACCACGAAATTTCAGACAAAAGTATTGAAATAGCAACAAATTTAGATGGAATAAAGATCTTTTTTGAAGATCTTTTTTGAAGATTTCTTTCTTTCTTTCTTTCTTTCTTTCTTTCTGTTTTTAAGTGTTCAAACAAAACCAAATTTCAACGCTGAATTTTGGGGTTTCTTTTTTCTTTTTCTTTTTTTTGGGGGGGCGAGAGAAAATGCTTATGTAGAAACCGAAATTTCGGACTAACTTTCGAGGAGTGTCCTTTTTTTGAAATTAACCTTGCTTTAGAAATTTCAAACAATTATGGGTTAAACATATCTAGATTCAGATAATATGACTTAATAATTTAACAAATGAAAAAAATATGCAGGAACATACAACTGAATGCATATCAAGATTCTAATAATAGGAATAGATAATTTATAAACTGCAAAAAAAATAAATATATATATATATATATATGCAGGAAAATAGAACAAATCGACCATAGTATGAGAAATAAATGTATGTAGTCAACTAAATAATTCAAATCAATTTATTTCTAATAAGAATGAAAAACTACAGAGTAATCCATCTTTCTTCAAGCTAAAATGGCCAAAACTCACCTGATATCGATCCATAGCTGGAAAATGAGAAACTAAGGAGCAGCAAAACGCCGGAAAATGCCTCAAAGCGCCGGAAAGTTTCAGAATATGGCCGGAATTTCGATGAAAGAGATGAGAGCGATGAAGAAGAGGAGCCCAATACAGCCGGCCTCAAGACCAAGAGGAATTAATAATTCAAGTAAATGGGGCCTCTTTTCTTGAATAAATAAATACTATTCAAGGAAAAAAATAGAAATAAAAGAGAGGGATCGGATTCAGTGAAAGCTGGACCATGGTTTATTGAGGTCTACAAATAATAAAACTCTGTCTCTCTTTCTCTCTCACTCTTCCCCATTTTGCCGTCTGTAAAATAGGTTGGATCTGTTCATGTTTGACGCCTAATTACTATTATATCCCTAGGATCTATATAGTATTTCTTGATTGTTTATTAATGACAAGGCGAAGGTTTCTAAACATTGCGAAACTGACAAAAAACGCTCGTGATTTGACAGATTACGGAATTTATCCCTGGTACTAATAAATATTACCCCAGGATGCCTAAGGAGATTTTGTTTTTCTTTTTTTTTTTTTATTTCTTTTTGTTTTAGAAATTCATCGCATCACTCCCTCCACCTTGGAAATGTTGAAAATTACTGAACTCCTTAAAGGGTGTGGTTTAAAATTACTCAACTTTTTAAACGGTGTGGTTTCCATGAAGTTCGACTTTAAACAATTCAATTAAGGTGCACTTTCAAATTTTATTATAACATATAATTTTTATATAAAATATTCTTAAGATTATCTCAAAATTTATTTTCATATCTAATTGTAAATTTTTAAACTCTAAAAAAAATTAAAATCAAGTAGATCTATAAACATATAGAAATCTTGAACATGGACGGTCTAGATAAAGTATTGTAAGATGTACTATTTTTAAGACTCAAAATTCTTTTTATTTTTCATAGTCATATATCTCGATGTCGACATAATCAATTAGAGTGTTTTTCAACATTAAAACAATATTTTCTGATAGATTTTTTAGGTGCATCCGTAGTTCTATATTTTAAGGTTGCAATCTTATATAAACTTTTTTCCGTCTTAAGTTTATAAGGTCCATTGTTTTTTATTGTGAAAATTTGGTGGAACTCTCTATTCTAGGTTTTCATATCTCAATGGGTGAACCGAGGCTCTAAACAATCAAATTAGAACTTACCTTCAAATAGTATCAAGAAATATGGTTTCAATACTAGAAATCTTTGTGGTAACCTTAAAATATATTTTTTTCTTTATTCTTCAAAAATAGTATAGATCGACAGATCTATGAAAACTTGAAAATCTTGAAAATTGACGGTTCAAAAATGCGTTATAAAATATACTATTTTCAAAACCTGAAATCCAATTTTTTCTCATGTCCATGCATCTTGATGTCTAGATGATCAATTTGAGGGCATTTGGGTATCAAAACAACCTCATATAGTGAAGTTTTTTAGGTAGGCTCTAATTTGATTCTTTCGAAGCCTCAGCTCTATATAAATTTTTTTCTATCTCGATAGACTCAAATATTCAAAATATATCTCCTAACTTTGATTAACTTTACTTATTTGTTTAGCCCTAACAAATATAAAAAATACATGATCGTTTTAAATTCTTCTTCTCTTTATGTGATACATTCCCCCAAAATTTATCTCCCTTTAACATTCACCCACTTTGTCTTTCTAATGGGGGAGAGAGTAAGTAAGAGACACTTGAGGAGAGAGACTAGAAAAATGGGTAGAAAGATAGATTTAGAGGAAAAAGAGAGAAATGATGGTATTTAAAAATTATATGTTTTTTTTATATATGTTTGGGGCAAAAAAAGAAGTTTAAAAGCGATAAAGTTATATAAAACTTGCAATTTTTGACGAGCTATGAAGTGAGGGTTTACTTATTTTAGTAAGGGTTGCAGCCCTATCCATCCATTTGCCCTTTTTATTTGCTATTTAACATCTCCGAATTATTGTCATCTAATTTTCAATTATCCATCAGTTTTGCTGATAGTAAATGTCCCATCAAGGAAATTGTCATATGAGTCCCATTGTTGGAGACGAAATGTTACTTGATTTGAAAATTTTCCTCTTTTTTTTTCTTCAAAATATTTTATTCTTTAATCAGGAACATTTCCTCTAATCAATCCTAATTAAACTCAACTTACGACCAGATTTAGAAACTTCATTTTTTTGGGGATGTAACATCTTCTATTGACCAATTTGATCAAAATACATACTAAATGCGCTTTGTTTGTGCCAAAAAAAAATGATACATTAAGATTGAATAAAAATCGTTTATGTTGTTAAGATTTAAGAATTCTTTTAGTTATGAAAACATGAACTTTGGAAGATAGATTCCACAAAAATCATGTACCTATCCAGCTACAAACAAAATCAGCAAGAGTACGAACCATAATATGAATATTAGAAATAAAGAATAAGGTATACATACAACATGAACATAAAAATATATATGATTCACTTTAAAAGGGTTACATCCACGCGCATAATAAACTGAAATCCAATGCATCAATGAGAGTTATATCACATATTTTGAAAAATAGTGTTATCTTTTTAACTGTCAATAAAGCCCAATCAAGAAACCCTTTTGGACCCACTCTCCTGACCGACATCACCAGTCAATGTTACATCTCTATTCTATAGGTAAACCATTATGAAAGATAACCTTAATGGCAATTGAAACTTTCCCTCACTAATAGGAAACACATGCCAAAATCTCCATAGAGCAACTACTCTACGAAAAAAATAGCACTCACTCTACAGGAGGCACTATTAAAGTGTTTTTCTCTACAAGAAGCTCTCTTCTCTATATAAGAAGTGTTTGCATGTCAACGCCTAAGGTTCATACCTCTCTCATAAGGAAATCATATTTAGCATATAGTGACCCAAATAACTTCAATAGATTTCCTTACTAATTTAATAAGCCTATCCTCAATAGATTTCCTTGCTAATTTAAGAAGCTTATCCTCAATAGATTTCCTTACTAATTTAAGAAGTTTATCAACATCAATATTAATCCCAAATCCATAATAACATAGGATTCCCTCATAGTGATGCTTTTTAGATATCATCATATCTAACACATGTTTTGAGCAATCACATCAAGGTGTCAAAATCTAATTTAATTTTTATTATAATTATAGGGTGATTCTTAGGTGGATACCAAAATTTTAAATCGGAAAAATCCTCCTTAATAAACATGAGGGAGTAAGGGCAATGTACGCCCCTTTGGGAGTATGCTACACACTCTTTTTTATTGAAATTTTAGCGGGCGCAACAAATCAAGAACTATTAATGCTTGGAAGAATATGAAATGATGAAAATATCCTCAATGGGTTGTTACTATTTCGGTTTTGATCTATATTACCTAAATATGAATGTATGTTAGCAACTGATATGAATACAGAAATCAAACATACTATTTTCAAAATTGATCTTTCAAATACGACATATCTAGACACCATTTAAATAAAAGACATTGAATTTTAAGTAACAACTAAATAATTTTTATGAGATCTTGAGACGAAAGGTTAAACAAAAATTATTGAGTTTCTAAAGTGACAATCTTTCATGTCCTTAGTGGATTGCCACATGCAAAAAAACATAAACTTACTTGTCCATAATACGTAGTATAAGGACAATTTGTGGGGTCACGAAAAATTATCAGGTCAAGATTACCTACTCTACTAAAGAAGTGTATTAGGTAATGGTCAATATGAAGATAAGTATAAAAGTAATGATCCATAAATTCATAGTATGCCACGATACCCTACTCTCTATTATCGTCCATTAATGGTGATAAGACTGATCAACTTTTCTTTGATATGAAATTTTGCGTCTTTTAGTAGAACAGGAACCAACATAATAGCCAAATGATGAACTTTTGAGCACATAGGTTAACAACTTAATTAACATTTTTTAACATTAATAAGTTAATTAACATAAATTTAGGCTAACTAAGTATTGAAATATTAGAAAATTCTAAAAAAAATATCACTTTATCTCTTATTTTTAACTTCATATGTCATGAGATTTAATAATTGAAAATATTACTTGTAAGCAAAATGTCTCTATCTTTTCTATTTTACAAACCCCTTGATTCTTTTGATCATAAATTTTTTACTCAAACAAACACTAAAATAGCACGCTATTCAAACTTCATCTCTCTCTCTAAAAGTCCATCTTTCTCTTATCATTTTTTGGTGAGTTTACCAGTCAAGGAATTTAGCTCGAGCTCAAACACGAGCACACCTTCTTATGTGTGAGAGAGAGAGGGAGTTTTAGAGAGAGAAAGATGGAGATTGAGTTTTAAGGAGAGAGATGAAATTTGGGTTTTAGAGAGATAGAGACGATGATGTGAGAGAGAGATGGAGTTTTAGATAGAGATATATATATGGAGTCATTTCATAAGTTGTTGAGGTCAATAATACATAGTCAAAAGGGTTTAGGGGGTTGAAAGATAGAAAAAATGAAGTTCATTTGCTTACAAGTAATATTTTCAATTATTGGGTTTGATAAGAAATAAAAGTTAAAAATATGAAATAATATGATATTTTCCAAAATTCTAAAAGACATCACACGTATGCAATGAGTATTATATAAAAGTATACGAAGAGCTCATTTACTTTTAACGTAAGGAATTCACAATTACTTTCATCAATCATATTTTAGATAAGGTTGTTATAAAGGTGACATTGACTGGACTCAAAGTTCAAAACAAAATTCTATAATTTCATGACACATATGAAGACATCTAATTTGACATTTAATAGTTAAGAGTGATTGTGACTTCCTTGTAACAATTAACGTACGCAAGCTTGAGTATTAACGACCTAATCATGACAGCAAAATATATGAGAGAGGGAGGGAGAGAGAGATAAATTAGAGAGTGATAGATTAGAGAGTGATAGAGTGGTGTGTGATGGAGTTTTAAAACTTGGAATAGGGTCCTGAATTGGCCCTTTAGTAAATTGATATGGATTAGCTTATTCTCTATGATAAAAAAAACTAAATCAAAAAATAAACGGTACGGTTTGTTTATAGCCGAGGCTCTAAACAATCAAAGTAAAGCGCACTTTTAAATAGTATCGAGAAATGTGGCTTCAATACTAGAACTCTTTGTGATAGCCTCAAAATATATTTTCATCTTTAATTATAAAATTTAAAGATTCCAAAATAGTGTAGCTCGAGCAGATCTATAAAAGCTTGAAAATTTTGAAAATTGACGTTCCAAAAATACGCTACAAGATGCATTGTTTCCTAAACTTGAAATCTATTTTTTTTATATGGCCTTGCATCTTGAAGCTTAGATGATCAATTTGAGGATATTTGGACATCAAAACAATCTTT